GTCTCAAGTACACATATCAAACACATTTCTCATTATTGTCTAAAGCTTTCCCATTGATCTTGAGCTTTGATTGAAGCTTTAGCTCTCACTGAGAGTAGTGCTTCAGATTAGAATCATCATACTTCTTGTAGTTCAGCAGCTTGATCTTTGATCTTCTGACTGTAATGAGTGATTGCAAGTTTGATTGAGAGAAAGTTGATGTCAAAGTGTTCAAAACTTGATGTAGATTAGCTATTTCAGCTTGCTAAGCTGCTATTAAATCTCTGTTCTCATGCTGAACCTGTTTCTGCTGTTGAAGAAAGATCATTCATTGTTGTTCAAAGCTGCTAGAAGTGTCTCTGCTCATTGCTTCATGTTAATTTATTTATGTATTCATTATACAAGTCTGCCACTTTATCTCATTTAACTAGATGTTTTCAATATTGCTCATTTGTTCATTAGCATGATTGCTAACCCAGTCTATTCATATACCAGTGCTATTACTGGACTTCATGATGCAGGATTTAAGACTCTCAATAGTCTATCATATGTCAGCACATTTGCTGAGCTTCATGATACAGAATTAAAACTCCCAGTGGCCTATCAATGAAAGAAGTGAAGCAATTCATAATGTAAAGAATTAAGCTCTAAGAACTAGAGGCTAGTCCTTCTATATAACAAGGATGAATTGCTTGAGAAAGGAAAGAAAAGAATAAGACAAGAACTCAAGCTTAAGTGAGCTCATGTAGCATGATCACGTGCGCATATGCAAATGATGACTAGGCTGAGTCAGCCAGCCAGAGCGAATCTAGAGGTTCAACTCCTTATAAAATTCACTTTGAATATTCTTTTCACTCAGAGCTGCTGTACAAACTGAAGAATAGATAGTTAAAAACTCATTCTTATCAATATGATTGATGTTAAGTCTCATTTTCTTCTCAACCTCTTTTCTATATGCTTGCTTCAATGAGAAAAAACAAGCAACATCTAAAGACTGTAAGAGATGAGAGAAATGAACTGGCATATAAAAAGAAAAAATCAAGTTCTGAGTGCAAAACTGATCAAACTCAGGATCATTATGACTGCCATGTCTATCAAGAATCAAAAGTCAATATTGACTGATTGTATGAGCTTGAGTATGTTTATTGAACATCTCTTTAAATCAGATAAAATCTAGCTTATCAATTGTTCATTCATTTTCACTGATTTCAATCCTCCAGTTGTATGGTAGCCTATTCTTAAATCAAGAAGTCTGATGTAACTTCCTCTTGAGAATAATCATTGAAGATAATAAATAATCAGTTTATTAAATTGACTTTCTCAATAATGATGACTTATTCTGTATTTTCAGACTGTACAAGCTTTAGATAGAGAGTTTTCTCTGACTCAATAATCATCTTAACTGTTTTAATAACTCTCATCTAAAACTCAATCTCATTAAAGTTGTATATATTCTTCTGTACAATATCATATTTCTAAATAGTATTCTGTACAAGCTCAAACCATTTTTGAATAATTTTAAAATTTTCACATAGAGCTCATTGATGATTACATGATTGAGAGAATCAGATTTTTAACTCAAAATGATGATCAATGAATTGTTTAATCTAGCTTTCATCAACAATTTTTGAATTGAAAGAGTTATCTTAATTGACAAGAAGAAAATTGACTGTTTCTCATATAGTCCTCACTCAGAGAGGCTGATCACATTCATTCATGAAGACTATTCACTGAACAAGAGATAATTTCTCAATAGAGATCAGTTTTTGATTTCTTAACTAAGAGTTCTCTTACATTATACAGCTGTGAAGTTGATAATAAAGAGTGAAATAAGAGATGTTGTACAATCTAACAGCATCTTTAGAACTAAAAATTTGATCTTTTTTAACTACTTCAATAGCTAGAGTAAGTCTTTCTTTCTTGTATAAAGAATTATCATCTTTAATTGCTGATATTTTGATTAATTAAGTAGTTAATTACATCATGTAGTGAAGATCTATCTTAGTAGATGATTTGTCTCACTAGATGATTGATTATATTAAAAAAAAAACTATATTAAAATTGAAACTATAAATATATCTTTTGTTAAAAGATTATTAAATGCTGTATTATTCTAGAATAAAACTTTATAAATATATTAATTAATTACTATTTATTAGTTAGATTAGTAAAATAGTTAAATTTTAGTTTTAACTAGGTAAATATCATAGTTACTGGCAAAATACATTTTAAATAAAAAATGATAATAATAATAATTATGTAAACTCATAATATCTTTTATTAAAATTTTAAATTATTTTTTTTACTTTTTTTTATATTTAATTTACTATAATATATAATATCTTAAAAATTAGAATTATAGTTTTTATGATATTTTATTAACTTAATAACTTAGTTGATTCTTCTTGATTTATAATATAAAAAAATATAAAGTATACTTTTATAAATACTAATTAAAGTAATAGTTTATATTTATTTAGATTTACTATTTATTTAACTAATTAATTGATTTTTTTTAATTTTATTAGTTTATAAAAATTGATAAGTATAATAGTATTTTTTAAGTATTTATTAAATTAATAGATAAAAGTAAATTATAACATTTTATATAAATATGAAATTTTATAAACTAAGAAAATATTTTGATTTTAAATAGTAGAAATTATCAGTTTATTTTTTTTATCTATTTTTATAGAGTTTCTTTATTTTTAATAATCTTTAATAAATGTGTTTATTAACAATAAAATAAAATGAAATTATGCTTGTCTTATTTATCTTTAATTTCTGTATTCTTCAAAGCCTCTGATCAAAGATTTTATCTAATAATTAAAATAGTTAACTATTCATAATGAAAATGATGTAAGTAGATATATATGACAAGTAAAAATTTAAAATAATCTATATTATCTCAGTATACTTGTTCTCAATATTGATGAGCTTGTGAAGAGCTAGCTGACAGAGACAAATATAGACAGATACATAATCACTTGTTATTTTTAATGAGTTGACATCATATCATGTCCAGAGTTGAATGTAATAACTGCTGAAAGAGGGGATCTGAAGAGGTGATGGTCAAAGTAGAGTTGAAACTAATAGATATATAGCTTATGATAGACTTTTTCTGGTACTAGTTATTTCTTGTTGGAACCTTATATACTTCATAAGGCTACCGGGATAGTTAACTAGTTATGCTGGGTCTGGGAGCTTGGGAACGGAACAAATATAATATTAGGTTTTATGTCTGGTAGCAGAGAAGAAGATGAGAGGACAAGAAAACAAAAACAGATGAGTTGAGACAGACAGATGCAAAGAGAGAGGAAATATTTAAGATTTAGATTTGTTACATTAATCGCACTCCCATTTCCTCTCCACTAACTAGTTACCTAGGAACTGTGCACAACCTTGGAGTTGAAGCGTCCTTGGAAGAAGGTTGAAGGTGGTTTTTATCATGCCATGAGAAAGCAGCAAGTATAAGTTAGTCAACTAATAGTTTAATATAATTAATTAATTAATTAAATGAGCAGTCCATTTAATGTATGTAATTGTAACTGACTCTGGTAGCTCCCTCACTCCCCATCACTCCTGCTGCTGCTGCTGCTTCATCATTCCTTCATCCATCCTCTTCCTCTTTCTTCTTCTTCCTGATTCTCTTTTCTCATCTCACCTCTTCCCTTCTCTTATTTCCTCGCATCATCTCTCAGACTTCTTCTTCTTGTCTCCCCATCCTCTCTCTCCTCACTGCAATCATCCTCATCATCCTTTGTCTTCATTTTTCACTTTTCCACGCCACATCCACGCTGCTAAATATCAGCCATCTCAACCGTCCCACCTAGCCGTTAGTTCCCGTCATCTTCCTCTTCCTCTTCCACCACCTCCTCTTCCTCTTCCTCCCCACTGCTCCTCTTTCTTCCACTTTCGACAAATCCCTCCCCCTTAGATGGTATTTAGTTATTTCTTTAACCCCGTCTTTCGCCTTCTTCCCTACCTCCCTCCACCCTCCATCCTCCACATCCACCAATTAATATCTCGGCTCTAAGTTCTCTTGTTGCCCCCTTCATTCTTCTCCTGTGATGCTGCTCCTGTCGTGATCTATTGAACATCACTTAGCCCCAGCTTCCAATGCGTTTCTCTTTCCCCCGCCCTCCCCCCGCCTCCGTGTTCACCTGTTCTTGAATGATGTACGGTGCAATTCCCTGCCTTGTTGCTTGCTGGGCGCCAGCACGGAGTAATGGGTGATGGTGAGATTAACTATCTCCTGATAAGACGGACCCATCCACTTCGAGACCCCTTTGCGACTAGGCCCTTTTCTTGCACCCCAATCGAAATAAATCCAATTAATGCAGATTACCTATGCCTTCAATCAAACCTCTCTCTCTCTCGCTTTCATCCTTTCTCCTGCATCCACTTTTGCCGCTCTAGTTTACTAAGTTACCTCTTCTCCCACCCTCTTCACTTCTCTTCACTTCTTCACTTCTTCTTCTTCTTCTTCCTCCTCCTCCTCCTCGCTTTCTTCTTGTCCCCTTCCCCCCACCCCCGTCTTCTACATTTTTTATAGCCATGCCCTCCAGAACTTTCTTTCCCCATGCAGCAACCCTGACACTTATCATAGAGCCTGATCTATAGCGGCTTATTCGCTTCTTTGTTGAGTTTCCTGTGCATGCTTATCTGGTGCATCCGTTCGTCCCATGAGCCACTCCCATTCCCGCCACAGTCCGTTTGTCCCAGCTTTCTTCTTCTGTTCTCCACCTCGATCCGGCTAACACAACCCACCCACCCAGAAACCATCATTCACCTGCATTATAATTTCACTGCATTTCACTCCATCAACAACAACACCACCACAACCACGAGCGCCACCACCACCAGCCAACTTCCTTTCCACCGCTAATATTTCCAACAACCTACTAACCATTGAACCTCACTATATATAACCTTTACAACACCTAAACGGTCACCCTACCATTGTAGTGGATGTATCAACTCGCCAACCGGAATTCAACAGGTTACGCCTGAATTTCACAATGTCCTCGTCGCAGTCGGCCACTGCGACTCCGGACCGTAACCATTCCCCCTCCACCAAGGCTGCTGGCCAGCTATCGGTCTCTCGTCCTTCCGTGCAAGGTGGAATCATGGATTCGACAGCTTCCAAATCTAACTCCGTTGTACATGGCCTTCAGTCACAGCCATTGACCGCTACGACCTCCCCCGTGTCCTCACCAGCTTCAGACGCCACCCCCCAACATGCCACTACCTCATCGACGACTGGAACTGCTCCCTATGGTACTCGTTCCAGAAATCGAGTTGGTGGCGCACGCCCAAATTACGCGGAAGATCGCGACATCGACACAGAGTACGAACTCGCAGGTTCATTATCGCGATCTTCTGGTTCCTCCAAAAGGGTCTCGAACTTAAACAACAGCGCTGCATCCGTATCTGCGAACGTAGACAATGGCAAGGCGACCGGAGTGAACACGCGAAGACATGCAACGACAGCGACAACGACAAACGTGTCGAATACTTCTGCTCATTCAACGAAAGAACACATTCCCGGAACATCATCCTTTTTAGCCAACCCCAATGCCAATAATTCTACGACGACAAAAAAACGAAAACAACCCGGCTCACACCAAACTACACCTGCTTCATCCACCCCAAACACTACCTTCCTCTGCGTCGACTAAGAAATTTATCGCACTCGCCAATGTATCTCCAGACGACCGGAAATCTCATGGGCGTAACATGATGTCTTTCAATAATTGTCGGGCATATCTAAAACAGGGAAAGCTGATAGCAGATGATGGCACGATCCTCAGTGTAAATGGTAAGTAATCTTGTGATATGAGACCGCTTCGCAATGTCATGCGCCCTCAGTGACTACCTCTGCTTATTTACTCTGGGTTCTTGACTTGGCTTTTCTAACGTCTCCGTGCTAGACCATGTATATTTGGTTTGCGAACCCCCCGGCGAACCCTACTACCTTGCTCGCATTATGGAATTCTTACCATCCAAAGATAATCCCGATGGGCCTATCGAAAGCATAAGAGTTAATTGGTATTATCGACCACGGGACATCCATCGTAAAGCTGCCGATCTACGTGTCGTGTTTGCTTCAATGCACTCGGATACCTGCCCTTTATCGTCACTGCGCGGCAAATGCCAAATTAAACATCTGTCCGAAATCGCAAATCTCGACGAGTTCAGAAAATCCAAGGATTGTTTCTGGTTTGAGAAAATGTATGACCGGTACATCCAGCGATATTACGAGGTTGTCCCTACAACTACAGTTATCAATGTTCCTCAACATGTCAAGAAGGTCCTGGATGAGCGGTGGAAATACGTCCTAGTTGAGTTAGGCCGTAGAAAGGACCTGACCAGTGCAGTTAAAACCTGCAAAAAATGTAGTTTATATGCCGCGAAGTATGCAAATATTCACCTGTTCCGTTTCTGCATATCTTTTTTTTTGTCGTTTTCAGTGGCTAATATTATTACCTAGCATGGATTCGGTTGATTGTGCTGTATGCCACAGCACTTACCACATGTATTGTGTACGTCCTGTACTACAAAAGAAACCGGCGCGTGGATTTGCGTGGGCTTGCGCAGCGTGCAGTCGTGCCCAGGAGCGAAAGCTAGAAGCGAGAAATACCCCTATCATCGGAGATGCGTCAATCGAAACTGAACCAGAAGTTATCGAGGAAGAAGAGGAGGATCCTGCCGCTCATACAGAGGTCACACAGCGAAGCACCCCTGCTCTACCTGATGCCGTTCGACCCGCCACCAGTGAGCAAATTGCTCAGGCAAAACTGTGGCCTTTTAGGTATCTGGGGATACATTGTCGAGTAGAAGATGCTTTGGACTATGACGATAGGATATACCCTCGTGCAAGTTCTCGAATAGGTCCTCGTCATCAAGCTAACGTTATTCCATGGCACGGCCACCCAGTTCAATATGTCAAAACTGCTGAACCGAGAAAAAAGAACGTCAAATCGAACAATAAAAAGGATCTCAAGCTTTCTAAAGAAGCCGTTGCTGCAATAGAGGCGGAAAAGGCAGAACGAGCTAAGAGGCCAAAATGGATCCAAGATGAACCTGTAGGATATATTCCCCGTGGAGAAGATGAACCGGTTACGGTAAACGGGAAACAGATTCTCACCGCAGAATTGGAATTCAAGATGCCCGAAGCTTCGCAACTTCCGTCTCGTGGCGAAGACGACGCCTCTGATACTTCACTAAACGATACAGACCGTGAAAAGTTAGTGGACGAATATATGGCTAAAGCCAAGGAAATCGCTCCTTCTCTCAAAGTCGAAAAGTATTCCACTAATTTCTTAGACAAAGCTCTTGCTCTCCTCTATGAGGAAAATTTCAATGTGGATGCTGCACTTGCAAAACTGAAACGAGCCAATAAGTATTCAGATCTCAAGGAACCGTATCTCCGTCCAGAAGAGATTAAATCATTTGAGAGTGGAGTTGCAAAATATGGATCGGAGCTTCGCAATGTGACGAAACATGTCGGGACCGTTCCCCATCGTCACATTGTTCGATATTATTACATGTGGAAAAAGACGGAGAAAGGGCGTCAGATCTGGGGCAATTTCGATGGGCGGCGGGGAAAGAAAGCTGCAAAGCAAGCAGATAATGCGGTGAAACTAGTTGATGATGTCGCAGATGACCATGATGATTCTGCATTTGACAATGAGAAAGCCAAGGACAAAAAACGGGGCTTCACTTGCAAATTTTGCTCGACGAGATCTTCAAGATTATGGAGGCGTGCCCCTGGAACGCCTCCTGGTACCACTGTTCCTGTAGACCCTAAACGTGATAAAGCGGTGCAAAGTCTCACTGTTGCCATATGTTCACGATGTGCTGTGCTTTGGCGAAAGTACGGTATTCAGTGGGAAGATGCGGACGAGGTCGTTAAGAAGATTGGACAGGGGGGCAGCAAGTCGTGGCGTCGACGCTATGAAGAAGAGCTACTCGTCCAGCTCCTCACTTCGTCGGAAACAGATGTCAAAATCAATAGCACGACCGCAGCGACAGCTACTGCGATGGGAATTCCCGTTATTGCGGATGTGAACGTCCCACCACCCCCTTCAGAACCACCTAGGAAAAAGGCGAAATCATCATCCGACCAGAATGGTAACGCTCCTTCCATCAATACCCCCGCAGAGCCTGCTCCGAAAAAGAAGGTGGTTGAAAAACCCGCTGAACCACCACCAATTGCACCCGAGCCACCAAGGGTGAAGACACTTCCGTGCGCGGTGTGCAGCAAAATGGATCCCATGGGCGATCAGCATCTATCCTGTCGCGATTGCCGCTTGACCGTTCATCGAGCATGCTACGGCGTGAGCCCTTCGTGGAACTCATCGAAATGGTTCTGTGATATGTGTTCAAACGATAGGAATCCCGTTATTTCCACGTCATATGAATGCGTTCTGTGTCCGGTTACGTACACTGAGCATGAGCTAATGGAACCTCCCAGGGTCTCACACAAAAAGAAAACAGACCGTGAGCGTGAAAAGGAGCGGCTGGAGAAGGAGATGGTGGCGGAAGCTAGCAAGCTTTACAAGATACGGCAAAAGGAGGCTGGTAAACCGACGGGTCCACGCGAGCCGCTCAAACGAACCGCTGGTAATAATTGGGTTCATGTCACCTGTGCAGTTTGGATGCCTGAGATAAAGTTTGGAAACGCAAAGGAACTGGAGCCGGCTGAAGGGTTAGGCCTAGTACCAGCTGAAAGGTATCAAGACATTTGCAAAATCTGCAAGACGCGGCAAGGAGCTTGTGTTTCTTGTCACAACACTTCTTGCAATGCGCGGTTTCATGTTGGGTGTGCACATCAGTCTGGTTACATTTTTGGTTTCGATATTACTCCGGTAAAAAGCAGTCGACGCGATGCCGTTCACACGATAAAATTAGGTGATGAGGCGGGTTCTGTCACGCCTGCGATTTGGTGCCCTCACCACACCATTTCAACAGTTGTCCATGAAATGAGTGAACCTAGCGAGGTCCAGGGGCTGAATGCATTGCAACTTTATTGCCAGACTTCCAAGCAAGCTGATCTTACTTTGACGGGTACGGTCCGGAAAGCCGCGCATGTTCAACAGTCTGTTGGGGTATCGATTCAAAACGGCCTGCACATTGCTCACAGCCGGCGGATCTCCGTCAATGGTACTACTTCTCTACACCATGGTAGCAAGGATAGCAGTAATGCAACTGTTAGGGTGTCAGCTGCGGAATCATCTTCCCCTAGTATAGGAAGTAATCACGCCGCAGGTGATGTCAGCGGCCAGAGTTTAAACACCTCAGCCAACAAAACTTGCGTAAATTGCAACTCAACATTCAGCCCAAAATGGTGGACAGTCGAATCATCTGGGGACAGTCGTCTATTGCTGAATGGTGTTGGTCAAATGGACGGTTCCCATGCGGTCCCAACTACGGCATCCCCAGATCAAACACCATCCATAATGAATGGAGACAACGCTATGACCGATGCAGACCGCATGATTACGTCCACTCAAGGCTCTCTGCCATGTCATCCAAATCCTACTAGGACATTGCACGAATGCCACAAATGCCATATCAAAAAGCTGTCGGCATCGCCCTTAGAATCCGAAACGCGACCTTCACCATACACGGCTAAACGCGATCCCAGTCTTCCTGCGGCCCGTACTTCAGAGTTCCCTAACCACCAATACTCCCCGTCGCCACATCCACATGCCCACCCAACAACCCAGCAGCCAAATCTACCCATTCCCCCCATCGTCCCAATACACGGCCACGGCCATAGCTCCACAGACTGGCGTCCGGAGTACGAGCAACAATCAAATGACTATGGGCCCTCTCTCATGCTCAATGGCATACCAGCTGGTGGCCCCCCGTCCAACGGCCTCCAGTCACTCGGACCACGAAGCTTCCATGGTGCTCCTCCACCTCCACCTCCACCACCTCACTTGAACGGTTATCATCCTTCTATCCAACCACACCACCAGGCCCCACCTCCACAGCACTATACAAACAACGTCCCTCCCCCTCCACCCCCGCATACCTTCTCGGCCCATCAAAGTCCTTATAGCCCCGTTCCCCTACCGCCACCACATTCCCCTCAACCGAGCCGACCATATACCACCGCTACATCCCCGCCAGCCTCACAATTTTCCCCGTCACATACTCTGAGCTCACTTCCCCCACCTGGTCCCCGTATATTTTCAGTCGAGCGCTCCATTGCCCCGGGCCATCCATCACCTTCCTCTACACGCCGCAACCTTAACCCGCAGTGCCCAGCTACGCCTGCCGCTAGTGATGAAAACGTTGCGCACAGCAGCAGCCCCAGGCCAGCACCTGTTAGGCCGAGTAGTTCTGGGCGATTCCATGGTGTAAATGGACCCGTAGGTGGTGGATCAGGGTCGGGGTCGGGGTCGGGTTCAGGGGCTAGCGCAAGTCCGTCTCTTAAGAATTTACTTTCTTAGGACTTGTACTTGTTTGTTTGTCTGTCAGGATCTTAGCCCTTTTCTTTTTTTATTTATTTTTTTATTTATTTATTTTGCATGTTGGTCTAACATGCTGCTGCGAACTCTCTCTCTTTCTTAACCTTTAATTTTTTTTTATTTTTTTTTATTTATTTTTAAACAGTGTGCTGTTGCAAATAATCACCTAGGTTATGGAACTGAACTGGTAAACACACATTGAATACCAGAAAAATAAATAGGTTTTTAATCCATTTTTTTAAGGTGTTTAATTGGTTTGACTGGATTATGGATATCATATATAGAATTGGGACTGTGTTTTGCGAGTTTTTTATTTGTATAATGTATTTTTTTTTCCTTTTGTATTTTGCTACTCTTTCTCTTGCTTCTTGCTCTTCCTTTTTGTTCTTCCTTTTATTTCACTGATTTCCTTTAATTGGTAAAATACCAAAGAGAGGCAGAGTATCAAAGCTTTATATCCTAAGTAAATAAAATTTAGGCTTTATGTTACTAGTTTCTTGTCTGTTAAAACCCAGCTTTCATACTGTTTGAGACGTTAAATATTCGCTCCTTTTGCTTCTCTGTTGACTTCTCTTTTCCTGATTTACGAAAAATGTCAGGGGAGAAATGGAGTAGAACAATGTAAGTACCCTATTATACAGCCTAGGAAATGTCGATGATGAAATCACGTACCAAAGGTTCATATAACTACCTCACTGAGCATCAATGGTCATAGCCGTAAATTCACCTGATAGCCATTTTCTCAGTGCAAGCAATCGTCTCTAGAAATGAAAATATGTAGTTATATATTGAACCATTAGAAAAGACTGCTGCAAAACGTCAAAGAAGCTCTGGGAATCATCAGCAAGTACCCAACATATCAGTTAACGCAGATTTCTCGGTGCCAGTGACTGTCAGATCATAGATGAATTTGACTTTTACCCACATGCAGGCGTACTCGCAATGGTGGGATGCTGTTTATAGGATTTATAATTCGCTTAGTATAAATGGACGTGATTTGTATTCCATTAAAAAGGCAGAAGAGGAGTGATCAAGGACACAAATGCGAGAATTAACTTACCAAGCGGGGGTTTCCATTCCTCAGGACCCGAGTCACTCTTGTCCTGATTAACCTACACACAAAGCACTAACATCTTAGTAAAAACCTATGGAACAGGATATATACATATACAATCATACCCAAACAAATATGTAAAAAAAAAAGCACTCACATTATCAGTAACAGCCACCAACTGCGGATTCTCCAAGTCATTCGCGAAGCTCCTTCGCGTATCTGTTGTCCATTTATCCGCCCCGCTCTTCCACGCATTACTCAACGGCACGACATGGTCAATGTCTACATCGCTTGCCCTCGTCCACGTCGCGCCGTCATAGACACTATACCACGACCCAGACTTTGCAGAGCAGTCAGCGCCAATTCCCACGTCTTTGCCCTCCCGCTTCAACACGGTCTCGCGGGTGTTGCATGCGCCTTTTATGGTGATCCAATGCGGGAATGAAGTTCGATTATAGCCGTCTTGGGGGCCTTGGGGGCCCACGGTAATGGAGGAGAGGAGTGTGCGTGCCTCGCTGGGGCTGGGGGTATTGGGGGGTGTGCGATGTTGAAGGGGGATGGTGGAGGTTGAGGTGAGTGTTGTGAGTGCTGTGAGGAGAAGAGGGAGGGAGAAGGAGGTGAGGTTGACCATTTTTGGTGTGAGAAGGGGGTTATGTTATTTTAATTGGTTTTTTTGGTACTGTGCAAAGACTGTAGGAGAGATGGGTTGGCTTGATAATGAAAGGGGGGGAGAAGAAGAGGAGGAGGAGAAGATTTGAAAGAGTGGGATGTCCCTTGGGGAGAGAAGCGGGAGCATAAAGGACGAGAAGTGAGCGGCCAAGCGGCCAAATCGAGGAGGAGGGATATTTATCTCCTTTTATCCAGTAAACCCACGGCTCTACCTCAGATTTGCATGTCAATTGGCTTTAGGGATTCCTGTTCAATAGGATAATACGTAGCAGTTAAATGCGAAAGCCTGTGTACGTATGAAATTCACCGTACATGCACCAAACTCCAATTTAAAGCCCATGTTATTATGGGTTAGAGAACACAAAGAAAAGCATTGCAGAGAGAGCGGGTATAAAGAGGGTTAAATAATAGGAAACCAAAAAGAAAGAGAGAAAGAAAGAAGATCAATAGCCCAATTTCTTCGTAGATGGATTGCTAGCCTCCAATAAACGGAGGAGGCTATTAATAGCATTTAGCATAAATGTTTATTTGATTGCCTCGTACTGCAAAATGAGGTCGGTCAATCAGGGTTTTTAAGAGAGGTTCCCGAGTTGCATGCATGGGCACGTGATACATGCGCAAGTAAATATCAAGGGCGACTTTGGGGTGAAATATTTCGCGGAGAGACGGACCTCGAGAACAGGACGTTGACCTATCAAGAGGGACAGGGCTGTACTACGCAAGGTTGCTTGAAACAGGGTGGGTTTACTCAAATACCCTATGGACTTGTGTTTTCTTCCCATCAATAGTTAGCTAACATCTCTTATTGCAAGATGACTTGGCCATCTAGCAGTCCGGTGCTGGAACTGCTTAACTAGTTATTATAGTCAACGGTTGAACGCTCCGAATGTCCGAGCGGAAAACTCAAACTAACAGTGGGACCTAAAATAAGCTTAAATATTTCTAAAGCGCCCCGCATGTATGAATGTATGTATGTATGTATGTATGTATGTATGTATGTATGTATGTATGTATGTATGTATGTATGTATGTATGTATGTATGTATGTATGTATGTATGTATGTATGTATGTATGTATGTATGTATGTAGGTCCAAGTTTAACTCCCCGGTTATTCGTTCTATATGCATTACGGACGTATATATATACACATATGAATGAATTTAGATAACACGTCAGATACCCTGAAACCTTTTTCAAGCAAGTGAGTAATGAAAAAGTGATGAACCTTGGGATGTTTTTGCCTATGAATGGTCGAGGATGTGAAGCCTTAAACCACAACTGTTGCTTTAAGGAGACTCGCAAAAGCGTCAAGGGTGGAGCCAAATTTATTGATGATGATAATAATGCAAACATTGACAGTGGAGGTCACAATAGCAAATGCTTACGTGCCAATACAGATGCTACCTAGAGACTAACACGATTGCTAAATTTAAGCAGGGAACACGGGATATCACTTCTGAAAGCGAATATGAACATGCCAGCCAATCCATATGATAGTGGGGGGAACTTTCCGAAAACCCAAAAAAAAGATAATTTTAAACCCCATTCATCGTATCCTGCGCTCGAAGCACATCTCCCTGATTGAGAAAGTCAACCAGAACGACGTTGGGCTTGCGTCCATGCATTGCAGTGCATAGCTCAACCTGCGCCCCGATGCTTCCTTTTCCCGTTGCTGCATTGGTTCTGGGTGCAGAGAACCGATCAGGAAACAAAAGGCCAATCCTTTCTATATCCAGGTAGTGGTTCATAATATACATTCTTCCATCTGGGTTTGCATTTGGGGGACGATCGATTTTGCAATGCAGGAATAGCGGGTCGGTGGTATCGAACGGCGTCTCCCAATAATAAGTGAATTGGTCGAGAATATACGGGAACCTATTCGTGTTGGCCTCGTAATCTACATATATATATAGATATATTTTGGTACGTTCATACACTAGTTAGAAATGCAAAAATCTCCTTCGCCCAAGGGCAGAAGGAGAAGGTAAGGACAGGGGGAGAGGACACCAAAACACTAACCCAAGAAGACGACAAGGCGTTTCCCAGACCGAATCATTTGTCCCAGAGTCGGCCATGCGTCCATGTTGAGTCTATGGGGAGAAGAAGGAGGAACAAAAACGTAAGGGACAATGCCACTTTTCGCGAACGCTTCATCGAATCTGGAGACGTCCAGCACGTCTCCATTTGTAATTAGGAGCGTGACCACTTCGTCCGGATTGTCGTCGAGCCACGACTTCACTTTTTTTAGATACGCATCGAGGCCGCCCGCATTCTCTAGAAAGCATGAAGTGTGACACATGCGCAGTTTTCCCCTCGCGTTCAGGTGTGTTTGGCCCTGTAAGTAACGGATGCCGAGATTTAATTGGTTAATCACAGATATCTCCTGGTTGTGCTGTGGTAGGAAGCCCACGAAAGGTGAATTGTGAGCTCCGACAAAGGACACGTCTGTGTAGCGACGGTTGCAGTATTCAGGATGACCATTGCATATGGTTTGGGCAAGCAGGCCTAGTGGCAGGGTAAGCATCAGTAGGGCGCAGAGGGAGAATAGCATGCCGACAGGATGTGCTATTGGGTGGAGTGGGTATAGTGACCCGGGTGTTCAAACAAGCGTGATAATACATAGGGAGCCTTGCCGGGCGGTATCTTGAGAAGCTGATCTGGAGACGTACGATAGTCTATAACTAGGAAGTAAAAAAACGCTAAAAACGAAAACGAGTGTATGTAGCTTGCAATGTGATGTGTATGGAGATGCGCAAAACGTTAGGTCCAGAAGAGATATATAACGTATCCAACCGTATGGGACATCCAATGGACACCAGTCCACGTATAGTGTGTATACAGCATATGGGGGATCGCTCCACCTCCAAGGAAGGAAGGGAGGAGCCAACGCCATATGCCTAGGGCGGCCGCTCAGCAGTCGGTATCACGAAGCACGGGATCTTTCCCGGGTCTGCTCCTGCCTTCAGCCGTGACACCTCTATAAGGCCGATAGAGCCCGAGGTGGTTCCATGTATAAGAGGAGGAGATCGACACCCTGGCATTCGCCGCCCATGTTCGCATCCCACGGATTAGACGTCCTTTCTCGGGTGATATCTGATTCATCGACTAACGGATATTCACTTTATATAACAAAGGGATGGGGCCGGGCATGCTTCCCATGCTGCTTGGACAGTGCACAAACCACGGTCCATAGAGCCGTCGAGGCAGAAGCTAAAGTCTTCCTTCTCTTAAGGCACTGGGTTCGTTGGACTGCACAAGAATATCTGAAACAGCTGCACACAGGGGAGGGATATGTGAAGAGAAGAAGAAGATATGCAAGAAAATATCGAGGTAGCAAACTCTGCTTTTAATTTTTAAAACGCATCTCAGCCTAGCAAAGTAATGATAGATTAGAGATTGGGAATTAAAAGCTTGGGAGAAGTAAATGCAGGTTGACCAACCCATGCGCTGTGCTCATGTGAGAATGCCTGCTTAAGCTGAACGAGGCTCAACGTCTTAGAGGACCGATATCAGTTTCGCCGCGATGAGCCAAAACAACAGCAACATTGCTATCACCAAGGCTCCTCTTCACTCTAAAAAGAAGAGAGCCCGCGCAATCTCCTCTGCTCCACTAAAACCCCTGGATGACCCCCCCCAGCCCCAAAACACCATGTCCCAGGACACATCAGACACTACAACAGCCACCACAGCTCAACTACATCAAATCAATATTGACTTCAATCCCCACCCAGCCCTCTCACCAGGAGGAGAATTCATTGAGAATGTGACTGACTGCACTCAAGCAGTCCTGCTAACTGTGAAGAACTCCTCTTCCACAGTGAATTATAAGCTCAATGCTCTGCTGAGTCATGTCAACAACTTCTTCTCTGCAGAGCTAGCTGCAGTGCTTGAGCTATGCAATAAGCTATCTGTGATACTGGACCCAATACTCTGCACTTATGAGAACTCTCTACCACACCAGACTGCTGTACTAAGACAAGTCATGAGACATGGCATAGTCAAAGTCATTAAAGACCTCACTGCTGAATCAAAGCCTATGTTGATGTATGCTACCACTGCAACAGCTAAGGCAATCTTCTCAAACAATTCCCCCCAGACTGTTTCAGCAATGGGACAACCTCACAAAAAGCAGATACAGCAGGTCAATCATCCTCTGCATCAAGAACAGAAAGACAAACAAGTCATGATTAGACTATCTGCAGCACATGCTGCTCATGACCTAGACCTTCAAGCTATTTGTGAACAAGTACATGCCATGATCTCTGATCTGACCTGGATCACTGATGTATGACACTGCTCATCAGAAATCATCATGACTGCTCTCTTCCCAGTGAAGGCAGTCTTCATTCTTGAACATGCAGATAAGCTGAAAGCTGCTGTAGATGACTATCTTATTGAGTGACAGAAATTCTGAATCATCTTTGTAGTCAGCTCAATCAAGAAGTCAACACACAGCTTTGAAGAACAGAATATCACTCTGATTTCAGTGTCAGAAGAGATGCTTCTTTCTGAGATTTGAGACACTGCTCATCAGACTTCAATCATTCATTGTCACTGGACAAAGAAGTCCATGAACCTCAATCTGCATGAAGAGTACATCTGAGTTGAAGTATGAATCTCTGAAGTGCATCTTTTTTTAAACAAACTTCATCTTTTCAGTCACTCAGTGATGATTAACAAAATCAAGAAATCATCAAAGATCTCAATTTGCACAAGATGTCATGACTTTCACACAGAAAGAAACTGTGCACAATCTTTACATTGTGAGAAGTGCAGCAGTCCCACACACTCAGACAGATGTCAAACATCAGCTCACTGCTGCAACTGTCTTGATCCTCATTTCACTCTCAGCACTGACTGTCCAGCAAGGCTCAAAATAGTCTCTGAACATATAGAACACATCTTCTGCTGTCAGCTACACTCAATACATGAAGCTGACAGAAGAGCATTCATCTCAGCTCATCAAACTTCAGCAGAGAAGAGCAATTCAGAGCTAAACTCTAGAGACTTCATCTCATCCTCTCTCTCAGCCTCACTGACATCAGTCACTAGCTCTCAGAGCAATCAGACAGACTCAATGACCTGCTCTCAAACAGACATCAAGATCACATCAAGTCTGAACCTTCACTAATGAAGAGCAGTCACAGTCCTCCTCACAAATCTACACTCACTATATATCAAGTCAATGTAGAAAGACAGTCAAACTCTCACAACATTGCTCTCTCACTAGCAGATGAAAGAGTCTGCAACATTGTGGTCATTCAGAAACTCTGAATAGCTATGAACCTCTCCACCCATCTCTTCAAAAGTCATCTCTCATACAAATGCTTCACTCTGCTCTTCTTCAACTGAATCAAGAGGCTCAGAGTACTGCTCTATGTCAGAAATAAAAGAGCTCTTGCATCAACTCAATCTATAGCAGATATCTCAAAAAATGTTGTCTGTGTCTCAGTTAAGATCTTTAACTTCAAAAGAGCTAATATCTACAACATATACAACACTTCATCTGATGTCACAGATGCAGGTCAAGGCCTTCAAGACCTCCTCTCTTTTACACACACCACAGAGACCATCCTCTGGATGGCATTAGAAGACTTTAATATTAGACACACAGCATGAGACTCTACAACTGATAGACATTCTCAAGCAGGAGAGAATCTGTATAACTGAGCAATCTCTCTTGAACTCCAGCTTCTCAACCTGGCTGAATCCCCTACACATAGACAAGAAGGCACATTTGATTTTGTCTTCTGTACTGCCAACTCAGCTATCTGTCATATTACTTCTGAACTGCACTGCATCTCAGATCATGAAACTCTTATCACAACAGTTCAATTATCACAGACTCAGACTCAATTGATTAAGAAGAAGAAGCTTAGTCTCATGATCTGCAATGCTGATCACTTCTTGCAACTACTCACTCTCTTCTCCTCATCAGTCTATGAGAATGTGAATGAGAAAGCAGTGAACATTGTGAAATCTCTTCAACTGGCTCTACAAGACTCCTGCTCTCTTGCCTCAGGACTCAAGAGTCATCATGTCTCATGATGGACCCCAGCAGTCAAGATAGTCAGAAGAGTATATCATGCAGCATGTAGACACAGTTCTTGTCAATCAGAACAAGTGACATTTCAGACAGAAATTAGAAAAGCTAAGAGAGCATGGAATCACCAGCAAATTGAGAAGGCTTCCTCCTTATCAGATGTCTACAAGATTGTCAAATGACATAAATACCAACCTCAAGACCTCACCCCTCCTTTATGACATTCTGACAGACATCTAGAACAATCTTGTGCTGGCAAATCTTCTCTACTGCATGAGACACTTCTGGCCAGACATCTTGACACAGAAGATATTCCAGAGCATACATCAACAATCTCATGCAGAGAGATACTCTGAATGCCTCTTACAGAGCAGGAAGTCTACAGAGCCATCTGCCAGACACTTAGCACATCTTCTGATCTGAATGGCATTACAGCCAAGATTCTTCAAAAGACATGGTCAGTGATAGGCAATCAAATTGTTCTACTCTTTCAACACTGTATAGATCAAGGAATCCACCCTCAGAGCTTCAAGAAGGCTGAGATGATGATTATTTCAAAGTCAGAGAAAAGAGATTACTCTCTATCAAAGTCTTACTGCTCAATTGCACTGCTATCCTGCCTCAGCAAAGAGCTGAAGTGTCTGATAGCTAGACAAATGTCTCATCTCACTCTTCATCATCACATTCTAGCAGAAGATCAGTGTAGTGCTGTTCAACAGAGGTCTGCAGTAGACCTCATCACTGCACTAGTCTGTGATGTACAAAGGGCATGGGACAAACATCTTCTGGCTGGCATGATCACTCTAGATGTCAAAGAGGCCTTCAATGAAGTTCTTTGAGACTGACTTCTAAGACATCTACAGAAACAGAGCTGGCTAGCAGTTCTGATAAAGTGGGTAGCATCTTTTCTCAATCAATGACTAGCTTTGATTTGACTAGACAGTGTTCAATTGAAGGTGTTTCAGATTCTCTGTGATCTTTCACAGAGATTCCCTGTCTCATCAATTCTCTTTCTGCTCTACATAGAACCCCTCCTCCAGCTTATCAAAGACTGATTTGGGTACACAGATGACATTGCAATTCTGAAGACTGGAAGCTCCCTTGAGTGAGTAGGAAGTCAGCTTCAGAATTCTCTCAATCACACTCTGGAATGAGGTATTGACAATGAAATCTCATTTGACTCAGTCAAGACAGAGCTTCAATACTTTCATAAAAAGATCAAGTACTTGAAGCCCTCCATCTTCTTTAATGAACAGACAATTTCCCTCAATAACTACACCAGATGGCTAGAGATTTTCTTTGACAGAAAGTTACTCTTCAGAGAACATATTCATCTTGCATGCACTTGAGCCAGAATTGTTACAGAACATGTTAAATCACTAAATGAAGTCTTATTTGAAAATCAAACACATTTGCTCAGACAAGCAACTCAAAGCTGTGTCTTCAGCACTCTGTTTTATGAAGCTGAGATCTGGTTCTCAAAGTGAACCTCTCAGACAGTCATTGAC